TCTCGTTGAAATTATCCCAGAAATATAGGTCGTACCGTACGCATATTACAGCATACCATATTACATTTGGTCATATTTATTCAAGAATTATGCAGCCCACAAGATTATGATTTTTCAGTTTTGTTTTTTACCTGTGTAACTAGTGGGTAGTCCATATGTCTTCCTCAACTAAAACAAAAACAGATCCGGGACTTATCTTATAAAAAAATCAGTTGTTTAAAAAATAAGGCGCCCAAAATTAATCAAAAAGCAACTTATATTTTCTATTAATTGCGTCTTTTTTACCCATCTTTTTAAGAGTTAAGATTATCAATGAATAGTCTTAAAGAGAAAAAAAATTGACTATGCTTGGCCCTTCTCGAATGATTGCGAAGGATCTCAGTGCTATTTATACTTTCCGAATTTTTATTTTTCTCATACTTTTCATTTGGGTTTTGGGTCGTTCTTGCATAATTACTGCTAATTATATCGTTGTGCCGTTACATTTTGTTAGAATAATTACCGCGTACACATCCACACATAATTACTTCGTTATATTTCATTATTATTACTCCGGAATAATTATGATAACAATTCGTTATTATTCATTGTTATGATTATAACGTTATATTCCGCGGCGATATTACCTCAAACATCGTGCAATTAGTAATATTATATTATACAACATATTATCAGTCGAATAGCATCTAATAAGGTGATCGTTCCAATTATGGGTCCAATCTCATTTTCAATCAAATTTGATTTATTAACGTACCAAAAGAGTACACATTATAATGAAAACACGGAAAAAATTTTTTTATATTCCTTAATTCTTTTGCAATTTATTCTAAGGTTACATTCACAAACATTCTCAATATTTAAGAAAAGAACAATCTAGGTTATCACTTTGCGACTGTTCAGATTTATGAAATTGAGTAGGTTATATGTGCTACGCGCATACCATTATTCTATACAAACTAAAACATAAAATGGACATTATTAATGTAAAATTGGGTATCGCATAACGCGTTGCACGGGCACGTAATACTCGCTGACTCATACTTTTGGGACTGACATGTAAATGTGTTACTAATTATTTATTTTACAATTTAAAATAAACTAATTAAAAAAAAATATAATAAGTTTGCTTTGAAACTATGATGATTTGCGTATATTGGTATCAACAGGATATATCCACAAACATATTTAGATATTCTATCAACAAATTTATGCAGATGATTGAAAGTTACTCTAACCTTAAGTGACCCGTAATTAGCTTTGTATATTTCATTATGCATTCTCTACATGTATTGCTATGTAATATTACATTACGTACAGAACGATCGGTGCGAGTCTGGCCTGCGTGCGCCCCGGAAAACTGTCTGCACCCCGGAAAACTGCCTGTTCCGATACGATCGCTTTTCCCCGTATTTTTTCAGCTGTGCAGGCTCGGCGACCTTCGAACGCGCGGAAGCGGTCGCTCTAACGAGGATTCTCGGCGACGGCGGCGGCCGCACGCGCGCGCTTGTCCACGTTAATGGCTTAATGGCGAATCGATGTTCGGGTCAAATGCCGGTCGTGTCGCGTCGCAAATACGCCGTTTACACGGTCCAACCCGAGCCCCGTTCTGGTACTGCAGAACGGCGCCCGATAAGGGCCTTATCTTATCACGCGGAAACGCTCCCTTCGCCCCCACCGACGCTTCTCTATCGCCGCCTCGTCCATTGTCTTCTTCCTCCTCTTCTTCTTCGTCGTCTTCGCCTTCATATTCTTCGCGTACGCCTTCGTTGTCTTCGTTTCTCTCTCTCTCTCTCTCTCTTTCATTCTCTCTCTCTCTCTCTCTCTCTCTCTCTCTCTCTCGTCGCGGTCGCTTGAATCCACGAGCCGGCAGACGCACAGTGCGTCCATTTATTCGCGAATGCCAAGGTCGAGCGAGTCAGAGACGACGGTCAGAAGTCGCGTTGACCTGCCACCTCGCGCCGAGGTCCCGCAAACCGATCCGCGTAATTTAGTTGATAAGAGACACGGGCCCTGTGCTCAGAAATTCGCGAGCGTCCGGGATGAAAAACATTTGCGAATGGTGGAGCAGAAATCATTCGATCTCGAAGCGTCGAGGTCTTTCGCACCCAAAAAAAAATAATCTCATTCTTAGCATAATACTCTTATATATCGGACTGCTGAGGATTCTTCTGAACCTAAAGGGAGATATCCCAATACTAAAAAAAATAAAACTCTCTGCTGAAGATGCTAAGAAAGAGAACTCGTAGAATGTAAGGTGCTATTTACTGTAATTCCATATTCTGAGCGAGAACCTTTGCCGTAAGAAAACTCGTCTTCTAACTCGACTATTGGAAATCTAAACTGGATATTATTATATTAAATTTTTTCTCTTTAATTAAGAGAATTTTGTTCACTAGAATGCCCCCTCGTCAGAAGAAATTTTTACGAGGAACAAGACTCATACTACAGATGAAAAACGAACTCCCCCAATTTCAAGAGCATCACTTTTATTTTAGAAAAATCCCCTTGAGGCCACGTATAAGAGGATTCCCCTAAGGACAATATTGTATTTGTTGGGCACCAACACTTTGGAACAGATTGCTGCTGGTCAATGAAAATAAACTGTCTATTGTTAGATTTGGTTTCCGGGTTTGAGCCACGTGGATTCTTCTTTGTTTGATTCCGACGTTTCGCGAACATTTCCCTGATGAAGCGGACTGAAATGTTCGCGAAACATCGGAATCAAACAAAGGAGAATCCACGCGGCTCAAACCCGGAACACAAATCTAATATGCATAGACACCGCGAAAGCCTAAAATATCAAATAAACTGTCCAACGTTCCGTTACGAGAATCACATGTAAATTGCCATATTGCGGTGCTGATTAAAAAACCAAAAGATCACGCGAATCGCAGAGAGTGGGAAACGGCCGCGGGACGAAATGCGGGGTGGAAGTCGAAAAATGACGCGAGTCGCCGCGGTTGGAAAAAGCATAAATCACCCGGAATTGAGACGGAATGTATTTCTACGGCGATTCCGATAAAGCGCGATTCGCGCTCGCGATAAACAGGGCGCCGCTTAATCTTCGTCATCGCGCGACTAGCTCGACCCGCGCTCTCGAAGTCGCGGCGAGTCGCTCGTTCGACGACATGGCGGAATCGTTAAGTCTACGTGAGGGGTGGAGGAAGAGGAGGAGGAGGAGGAGGGCTGTGTGAAAGAAAAAAACCCGCGCCCCGGGGGTGGCTGAGTTTTGTCCGGGACCATTGTCCGGCCTGTCAGGGATGAAAAGCCCCGGAGATAGGAAGCGGTCCTCAAGGGGTGATCGGTGATTTGTCAAAGTCGCTCGCCGAGCGACGCTACACCGTCTTCGTGTCCAAGGACTCGTCCACGCGCAAAAAACCGCACGTCGTCCTTCGCCACGGTCGTGAGGATAATAAATACTTCCTGCTAACGTGTTCTTACGAATTATCTAACGTATCGCTTTTTGCTGCGTGCGCGAGCTCGACCGGCTTGTGCTTGAAAGTCGCGTAAACGTCGCGCGCGCACGTCGACGGCCAAGCGGTATTTGTCTAATCTAATCGTGAACGTAGATCTGAATCAATGTAATGAATCGACCGCGATTAAAATCGTTTCTCAAATGTGGCAGATAACGGTTCACGTGTCCGCTTCGCAATAATTGACAATTTATCTCGCGTTAATTCAGTCGTGCTTATCCTTAACGACACGCATTACTTTGGCAGATGTTTGACGGATGTTCTATCTCAGTGATAACTACGTCTCAATCATGCTTTAGAGACACTAATAAATAAATAATAATGAACAGCCACTCGAAGTGAATTTGCGGATTTATTTCACTGGTAAATTTAATGAGCTCTGAGTTTACTGCAACTTTGAATATTATTTAGCAATTGGATTTTAAAGACGCTAGCAAAAGTATCTCCTAATCTGTCTTAAAATCATATCTGTGCCTTTAAAAAAGTTATAATGTGTACCGATAATCCAAATCGAAATGTTATACTTTCTATTTTCAACTTTTCAACATCTGTATACTCAGAAGGAGTGTATGTGTGATACACACAGAAACTGAAATCTTACTTAACGCTTTTGAATGGCACAAAATAATACTTGTAAGTCCCCTCGGCGAAGAGATAGTGGGTTAAATGGATTCAGAAGAGATTGATGTAGGCTTTAGGATGTCAAAATAAGCGTTAAATGGAATACTGTGATCGAAAGTAGGACTGAAATTTCGTCCCGGGAATTCACGCAACTTTTCTCGCTCCGTGAAATTCCCTCACCAATAGTCGTCGGATCCTTCATTGAGGATCCAACGCGCGCGAGCCGTCATTAATAAACGCGCGCGAGATTTGTTCCACCGCGTGCACCCCCCGAAAACAGGTCAGCCCGACGTTCAAGAGCCCACCCTCGAAGGTCCCGCGGCAATATCCCGCTCTCTCTCTCTCTCTCTTGTTCCCTCCCACCCCCTTGCCTGCGTCCACAATTACGCGAGCGTTTCCAGACTGCGAGTACTGCAAGCGCGAGTACAACGCGCGAATGCATCGTGTGCCGCACATCATCGTGGATGTCTTTCTCGCGGACGGAGGGGGCGGCGAAGGATGGCTCGCTCGCTCTCTCGTTGCCCTCGCCCCCCACCGGACGGTGAAAAAGCGGCGGACACTTTTTATCGTCGCTCGCAATTACGATTAGCTCCACCGCGCGCCGGTGGAAGAGCCCGCCACCCCGGCCGCCTCTGCCGCCGCCGGGGGTGGCGCGATTAGGGCGCCTCGTCAAAACCGCCCCGCGGAACAAATGGTCGCTTATCCTCCCACCCCCGTGGTACTCCGGGTGCATCCCCCAGGAGCTCTCTCTCGAGCGGCGAGAGAAGCTCGAAAGAGGGTGTGTGCGCGCGGGCAGGAGACGGAGAGGGGAAGGAACAGGAGGAGGATGAGGGGGAGGAGGGGGACCAGAGTCGGCGGTGGAGATAGAGAAAGCTCGGCGAGGGGGTGGCCCTTGCCTCGCGCGCGCAGATTACACAAATGAGAAATGACCATCAGGCTATCGGAGGACTTCGGTGCTGCTCCTGCTCTCGAGCGGGGTTTTGCGGCATCTGCGCGACGTGGATATACACATACACACACACACACACAGACATACACACGCACGTGCACCAGCATCGTCGAGCGTCGGGGTCGGCGTCGGCGACGCCGAGAGCTTCCGGGCGCGAGCTTTTTAGATACGCCGCCGATAACGCCGGTATCTCGCGGTAGCACCTCCCGTCGCGGTGCGTATAATTTATTTTCCCCCGATAAGCTCGGCTACGGCGCGACGCGATGCGACGCGCCGCGTCGCGGTATCGCGTAAGGTTCGCGTCGAACCTCAGGAGCCGCGACCCTCGACGAGTCGAGGACGCGAGGAGAGATACTTGCAGCGGCCAGGTTTCGGCCGCGCAAAATCGGGTTTTCACGACGCCCGTCACGCGTGCACTTCCTATGATCGCCGTCAGGAGAACTCGACTTCACGTGGTTTGGCGATTAATTTGTCTTCATGACACTACATACGTTATTTCATGTACGATACCTGTCATATATTATCATAACACGTTTCTTTACATATATTATCTTATAATACATGCGATTTTTATGGAATGCCATTGCAATCAATGTCAATATTGACACCGCGATGAAACGTTATTGGAGATAACATAATCCACGTTAGATCGTGTCAGAATGAGCTCTGTGTCTCACTTTACTCGCTCATACTTGTCGAATCATGCGATAAAGTTGTCTACGGTCTTCCAACGAAGAACAATTAAAATTCAAGATTGGTCGACCGCGTCCAACACTGTCACGCATCGCTGCGTGAACGTAGAACGCAGGTCTGAATCGTTCTGGATCGGAGGTGGTCGCCGTCTTTCAGGATCCTACAAAATCGGTGCTGGTCATGCGATGCTGAAGGGTTTTCGAGCGCGCCCAGCGCTCGGTATCCGTCCATCTTCTCGGACAGATGAGAGAGGGCGGCCGATAAAGGACGGTGGAGGAGGAGGGAGAGGGACAAGGCTATCTCTCGCGTCGTCTAGACTCGAAGAGCCGTTCCTGGATTTTCTCCCCCGGGACCCCTGCGTTCCCGAAGAGAGACAGAGAGCAAGAGAGAGAGAGAGAGAGAGAGAGAGAGAGAGAGAGAGAGAGAAGGAGGCAAGAGGTCGAGAGGGAAAGGAAGAAGGAGAGAGAGAGTGAATCTTGCGAGACAGTGAGACCACTGTTGGATCTGTTTCCCTCCTTCTCACTTCCCCCGCATTGCCGGGAGGATCTTAACGAATAAGATAACACGGCGCCAGGGAGCTCTCCTCTCCTGTTTCTCGCTCTCTCTTTCTCTCTCTCTCTCTCTCTCTCTCTCTCTCACTTGTTCGCTGTGTGTCTCCTCTTCTTTTCCTCTATTAGGTACTCGAAGAGGCCAACGGTCACCGACACTACAGCGATGATCCATCCTGGCCGTCCTCTCGACATCTCTCCTCGCGATTACGCGGAATCTCTCTTTCCCCGCTTGTCCCCGCCCGCCCTGCAAACGTTCCCCTCCGCGCTTTTTCATGCCTCTTCCCGGCAGATCGCGTACCGACGATCCCGTTTATCCGCCGACGATCGATCGACGAGTCCGGTCGCCTTTATGAGAAAGTCGGGGCTCCGCGAGGCGAAGTGTCTAAATTGGTCTTCCGTCGTTGTGAGGATGATAGATGGAACAATTTGTAATTCCGGCCTGAGTCTCTCCGGCCGCGCTCTCGAGTCTCGGTCGCGAGACGCGATCGGATGTTAGATCGGAGGGAAAGGGTTCGATTTTTCTGATAAAATTTCATTCCGCGAGAATCCCTCGATCTAATTACAGGATTGCAAATTGAATTACGGAGAAGGTTGGAATCGGAGAGATTCTCTCTCCATTGGTACATAATTGTAGAAGGACAATCTTCAGTGTCTGTGCTGATCAGAGATTGAAGTTGAAACGGAAGATCGATTTGGAGACGCGTTATCGGATTAATCAAAGGTGAAAAGGGGGAGGCTTGAATTAAATATTTTTCTTGATTTAAGTTCCGATAAATTTGCATCTGATTCTAGGAAGATGAATCTTAATTCAAATATGATTGGAAAAAAATTTTAAAGAATCTGTGCGGTCAGAAATTTATAGATTTTCAGAGGGGAGGAAAATGTAAATCTCTTTCTTCGGGACTGAAAGAAAAATTTAATTTCTGGGAAAATTAATCTAAATTCATAAACGTGATCAAAAAAGTAAATTCCAAGAACGTGCAGTGTTAGAAACTCGTTACTTTTCAAAGTTACTAGAGCTGAAGGGAAAGATTTAAATTCGAGACTGAATGAAAAGTAGAATTTTTGTAGGAAGATGAATTTCAATTTCAATATGATTGGAAAAAAGAAATTCAACGATGGCGTGGAACGATGGAGTGAGAGACTCGTTGCTCTTTAGAGGAATCATGGTCCAAGGAGAAAACTTCAATTTGAGGCTGCGTGAAAAATCGAATTTCTAGAAAAATGGATTTTAATTTAGGTGTCGATAGGAAAAGAAATTTGAAAGAACGCGTCGAGTCAGAGACTCGTTGCTTTTCGGAGCTATCCGTGTCGTGAATGGGGAAATTCAAATTTCGAGACTGTATAAAAGATTGAACGAGACGCTTCCTCTTCCTCTCCTCTTCCTTCCCGTCTCCCTCAAGTCCCCTCGTCCTCCGCTCGCAGACTGACATTGGTTGTTCTCGCTCGTCGCGGCTATATCAGACTCGTTTATCCGGCGGCGAGCGACGCCGATTACGCGGAATCCCCCGAAGACGCGAGCGAGGAGAACGATCCCGTTGATATGCGGGGGGATCAATAACCCTAAGTGCGAACGGTTTCAATTAGGGTTCGTCGTCGCGCGCGCGCCACCAAAGTGAACGTCGCGACGGTGTTTCGGTCGCACGGCATCTCGATCGCCACTTTTTCGCAATCGCAACGATCCCCGCTCGCGATCTCGCTCGTAGAAGACGGCAATTATCGGTCGCCCTTGTCGTAGATCGCGACTCTGCTTTTTCATCGCGTCGGTGATTATCCGGTCAGCTTCGTTCGCGTAATATCAGGTTGCAAGAGTTCTGTCGTGTTTGTCAAAGGAGACAGGAGACGAAATTATTTTTATCTCACAATTCGCAATCAACAATCAACTATGAGTTCATTTGGCGATTAAAAGTTTCTACAACATTATCAATCCTTCGAAATCCAATTTCGAGGGATGAATAATTGTCACGGACGAGATGATTACCGACTCGGTATTTCTTCAGACATCTGACGGAGACGCGCGTTATCTGCCTTTCCTCTAACACCCAAACTTTCTACGGGAATTTCGCAGAAAAATGGCGATTCTTCTGCAGAGATCAGATAAGAGGAGATCATCGGTGACGAGTCAAAGTCTCGCGCGCGAGATGCTTCTTGGCGCGATACCCCCGAATTCGACCGATTTCTTCGGCGCGGTTAATTTTTCACATTGAATCGACCGCTCGAGTCTCCCGCGTCAGTCCTTTCTCCACCTCGGGATGAAACAACAACGAGCGACCGGACTTTCTGGTCTCTTTGCGAGCCGTCGCCGCGCAAAAACTTGTTTTGCGCGAATCCCGATGTTAATCTGCGTATTAATATGCGCGCAACACTGATATCGAATAACGGTTAGATCCGCGATAGGCGGCTGAGAAAATACAAGTTCAACTGGTTCTCTCTCTTTCTCTCTTTCTCTCTTCGTCCCTCCCTCCCCTTTGTCGCTTTCTCGCTCTTCTCGACGAATATCGCGTAAGCCCGACGCGAATAATTTATTAGCGGGTAATTACCGATTGCGGCGTTGATAACGGCGCGGAGCGTTTCGCAACGGTTCCTCGAGGCGTGACGCAACCGACCGACAGCCGAATAACGTTGCAAACGAATCGCTCACCCAGCGCGACTACGGCAGGCGCGCGGTGGCGGGCTTGCGAAACCGTCGCGAAAAATTTAACGTCAAAGTACGCACACGCGGCTGAAGTATCCGTTCGCGCCAGCAACACTGCCGTGACTAATATCGCGCGCGAGACTTCGACTCATCACCGATGATCTGCTTTTATCGGATCGCTGCGAGAGGATCGCCATTTTTCTCGTAGCAAGTTTGGGTGTTAGAAGGAAAGCAGAAGTCTCCGACCGCGCAGCCCAAAATCGTCGCCAACTGACAGTGTCACACTGAGAGAAAAGTATAGTTTTCTTTGGCGTCAACTACACGCTTTTGTGATTTTAACCAGAAAAATAATTAGAAGAACCATTGTTTTAGTAAGTGTTATTAGAAAGATGGCTCTTCTAATTATTTTTAATGGTTAAAATCATAAAAAAGTATAGTTGACGCCGAAAACAACTATATTTTTCTCTTAATGTTACGTTATCGTATTCCTAGTTTAATTCATCTGATCCTTTCGCTCATTAACGGACGGTTCGACTGATCGCTTTTCGTACGAGATTTCACTTACCGTCATTGTCATTGTACTTGCACCGACAATGAACTCTACTGAGATACATGATCCGAGCGATCTTGACTCACACTTATCCTATTTCCTTCAGTTTTTTATGCGAAAAACGTGGTAATATCCATTCTTCCGTATGGATCTTAGTTTGCCCGCCAGAGAGCGTTTTATTTGAGCTATTGCTTAATACGAAGGGACACTTTTTTTAACTTTGGTGCTCTCTAGTGAGCAAACTGAGGACCGGACAGAAAAATGAAGATTACCACATTCTTTTTCACAAAACATTGAAGGGAGTAGAATAGGTGCGAATCAAAATCTAGTCATGTCAGTAGTATTCATTGTGAAAGAAGGAATATCTAAGAAATAACAAATATTCGATAAGTATTAATAACATATTTTTTAAATAGAATCTAGATTCTTACATAGAATAAACAATTATTCTCATAAAAAGCCTTTGAATTAATTAAGATGCTTTATTTTTTCATCGAGCTTGTTTAAGGACAGAAAATATTTCTGCATGACGACGGCCCTCCCCCCGTTTTTTGTCAAGAACGCATCTCCCAGCAACTGCGACGCGGTACTTTTTCCGCGGCATAGCGTCGTATCGGCGAGAATAGGTGCATTAATGCTCGACGGGATTATACAAATGCGCGTGTACTTTTGCATAATGCGCGCGCGACGCGAGTTCAGTAGTTAACGACGTGTGAATATTTATGGCACTGTCAGTGCTCGTTTCCGTCACCGTTCTCGATTCCGCACCGCTTTTATCGAACTGGCTCTCTTCCCTCCCTCCCTCCTTCCCTTCTGTTTCTCTTTCTCTCTCTCTCTCTCTCTCTCTTTTCTCTTTCTCTCCTTTCTCTCCCGTCTCTCTCGATTCCTGGCCGCCGTGGCTGCGAATAAAATCGAACGGTGTGCGTGCGCGGCCGTTGCACCGTCGCATATTTCCAGCTAGGAGCATAAACAATAACGCACTGCGGAATAATGGGGCGTACTTAAAATAACGAACACGACAGAGCGGTAAGCGCGATAAAATGCGCGCGGCACAATTAATCAACAGCCGAAGAGTATCGTGTATAGGATATTAATTACGTTACACGGAGCATTGATCAAGATTAAAAAAATTACATCACGCGCGACATATTTCGCTATAGAATATTAATTAAGGAGCCGTAGAAAATACGCAAAAATCCGCCGGTGGAGATAACAGTCCCGTAACGAGGCGAGGATGCGCGCCGCGCACACTGATGACGATAACACGCCAAATAGAGTAAACCACGCAGCTATCGATGCCTCTTCCCCAGTCATTGGCGCTCTGGAAAAACCTGGTTTTTCACGCGACCAACATTGCGGTTAGGCTTCTTGCCCGCATTCTACCACAGCGTGTTAAGGCCGATCTACAATGGTCGTATCGTAGCGTCGCAAGCGTCGTAAGCGTCGTGCGATTCGTCGTGACGGATCGTCGTAGAAGTTTGGTCGAACCCAAACTTCAACGATTCTACGACACTACGATTGCTACGATCAACCAATCAGCGACGAGTTAGAGTCGTATTACTTAAAAATATATATGGCACAAAAAATAATCATATTCATCATTAAAAGTATATACTTTTGTACTGCTCACGAGCATTACGATTTTGCGATGTCACGACGTTACGATACGACCAATGTAGATCGACCCTTAGACATTAATAGGTGAGTTTTTGTTGGCCAAAATAATCGGCGAATCGATCATGGAATTGATCAATTGTCGTATCGCGAATAACTTGATTGATTGGTGAAATTAATTATTAATCAGTACTCAATCAATCGGTCAATCAAAGTGACAATTTTGATTGACAATTAATAGTATCAATCGATGAAATTATTTGTGATTTTACATATGAAGACTCTGACTAATTTTGCTTATTGATTCGCCAATTATTCTGGTTAGTGAAATTTTTAATTCAACAATGTCTAACTTTATTTTTTTATCCGTGTCCAAGAATACAATTTAATCGGTCTAGCGGCGCCAACTCCGAGCTTCATGCGCTAGGAATCGGTTAAATTTCAGGCGTTAAATTTAGCATGTTCTCCGACTCTTCGCGAATCTTTTCGTAATAGCGAGAATCTCTTTCACGGACAATATTGTTGTCATCAGGCATCGAGTGTTTGCAAGCAACTCTCGGGTCCTCCAACGCTTAGTTCGAATTCAACGCGTTATTAAATGTAAATAGATTACCAGCACAATAAGGAATGATTTCCACGAATCGCTGCGTGATTGGCGCAATCTTTTGGAATCGTGAAGTACGTGCGAGAAGCTCGAGGGGCTCATGTCCGCTAGGCTTCTGCTTATAAAAGTTAGGGAGTAACGCACAAGAGATCAGATCAGCCTAACTGTCTAAAGCGTGTCAGTATAGCAAAGTAAAGGTTTATTAAAATTCTCTGGTTTTTCTTAATCATTAATTAATCGCACTCATTTAAGTCCTTCGACTTCCCTTACACTGAATCCAATGGAATCAGCATTAAATCAAGCTTGCTGATCCGACTAATTCAATAAGCGTGTTTTTGAACAATCTATTTCCTTTCTCTCTGCAAAAGTGATCTTCGCAGTATAAACTGTGAACAAATATCGCAGATCGCAGAGAACCAGAATTTCCTAGAATGTCATTACGGGGAAAGATGCCAATAATCGCGCGGTTTATCCAGAACCGAAGCGGTAATAATCGTAAAAGGCCTTGGGCGGACCATCCTTGATTAAACGTCCGAAAAAAATAATCGCCGGAAACGTCGGGACTATCGACGTCTTTCACGGGGGAGTGGGGGGGAGTCGACTCTCATCGAGAGACTTCGAAATTAATTAATTTAACTCGCCAAATGTAAAATTTTCTCTCTCTCTCTCTTTCTCTCTCAACCAAGCCTCAGCGACTTGAATATTCGCAACAAAATCGCAATAGTCACGAACGGTCTTCTTCCATGAACCGTTAACAACAAGCAATAACATCTGAAACGCGTTCTCGCTCAGCTGCCGAAGTTCAGAGAAGAAAATTTCGTCGGCCGAGCTCGACGACTCTCTCTCTTTCTCAAATATCGTCATAAAATCAGTCGGTGACAAGCGGTTTCTCGCGAGCCGTTCGCGTGGAAGGCGCACTGCGTGAGCGTCTCTCTCGGCGCCTCAACTCTTTTCAGGCTCCCACAATCGGAGATTTCAGTCGGCCACGTCCGGCCTTATCTTCTACGTCTCTCCTCTCGCGGAGAAACGGCGCGGGAAAAAAAAAAAGGAGAAGAAAAGAGGAGAAGGCGCGATACCGCATCGCATCGACGTGCGGAGACAAAGAGTACGCTTATTAGATATAAGCGCTCCCTACGTGTCTCGCACTCGGCCTTATCGCTATCGTCGTTACTCACGGAGCGAGCGAGCGAGCGAGCGAGCGCAGGAGCCGCCGCGGGAGTATCGCGAGCGAGCGCTTATCGTTATCCGTTATCACGGCGCGTTATCAAGCGAAGTTCGAACCTGGCATCGGGGCGGCGACGGTCCGTGCTGCCGCCGTCGGAAAACTGGCGCGATATGTGCCCTGCCGAGGTTCGAAACCGGTCCCGCTGAATTTCCCCGAGGGATTTTTCCGCGACGCGCGCTCTCGTCAAAAGCGAAACCGACGGCTTATTCCATGGCTTCTGTCTGTCTCTCTTTCTTTCTTTCTTTTCTCCTTGTTTTCCCGCACTTTTGCTTCGGGTGATAACGACGGAGGAGTGGAAAATCGCCTTGAGATAACTTAGCGCTCAAACGATACGCTCATTCAGTATCTCATAAATTTTAACGTTAATGACGCACGCACACACACGCGCTAACGAATAAACGAGGTTAGACAACGGTTATCAATTGCGCTATCAATTGGTTGTTATTAGGTATTAATTGGCGAGTTGTTAGTTAAACAGCGCGTAGTAATTACTCGAGACGATAAGTTAAGTTTTACAAGCCAATTATCGGTCGTTTATCTCGCGATAATATTGTACTTTCATTACGTCACGACACGCCGAAGAAGAGAAATTTTACGTTACGTCGCTCGCACTGTTATCGAAAACTTCGACTACTCGCACTTGGGGCCGCGGTGAAAACGCGACGTCGACGTGGATCGCGTTTTCGCGTGGGGAGAGACTCAGGACGGCAGATGACGGTGGATGATGGGGCGGACGAGGCGGAGATGAATCCCGTCGAGTTGTTATTCTCCCGTCGCACTGTACGTCTTTCTCAACGGGGAAACGAACGAGCGCGGGTGACGTTCTTCGATTCGACTGGGTTGACGTCAGGCGCGTTCCCGAGAATAATTGGTGATTCACGGGTGGGTTTCTGCCGGTGGCCCCGACATGCCGTGGAATTGCTCTCTTCCGGTGTGTATCCAGCGGGTCAACAATGAAGAATAAGAAGGCTTCTAACCGCGTCGAGAGAGAAACAAGCGGGAAGGAGGGACAGAGACAGGAGGACGACGACGAAGAGGAAGTAGGGGACGGAGAGGGTAAGAGATACAGGAACGACTGTTTGCACGGCACTATCGTGCGGCAACAGAATGCAAAGGATGGAAAGAGGGATCGGCAGTGACACCGAGTGAGAAAATCGACGGCGAATGCGCCGTGGGAAGGGGAGAGAGAGGCAAAGAGAAAGAGAGAGAGACAGAGGAAAGTGATAACAGGTAGCCATGGGTCCCTGGGCCGCCAGGGAACCAGTGATAGTGCTTGCACCGCAAGAGCGAGCATCTCCCGTCGCGGTTTCTAGAACTCGTCGCCGCGAAAACACGAGGAAAACGCGGAAAACGAAACGAAGCCGCCGTGGTGAAGCGAATGTGAACGATATACAGTGACGTGGGGATGCTCAAGTGCACGGTTGTGTAGGCTGTACGAGTATAACGTAGCAAAATGAAGAAATGACGTGAAATGAAAATCGGTGGCGCGAGTACCGGCTATCCGTCTCATTCCCGCGCGCTGCATGAGTTCGCGAATTAGTCCGAATCTTGCGGTTATCTTGAGGGATATGACGCACCCCGACGAGAGTATTCGAGTGTCGAAAGCGGCGCTATTTCTGGTGAGTTGAGCCGCGGGTGTAGAAAGTGCACGGCGCAATAATTTAAACTCGGGAAAAGCTTTGAGAACGCTGCCGACGATCGTCGCGATTCGACTCTTGATCTTGTATGATTTATCGTTCTATTCGTGGAGGATGATTATTATATTATAGAATAGAGAAAGTATGTGTGTGTGTGTGGAATTGAATAGGAATAGAAATGATGATTTTCACAGCGAGAAATAAATGAAATGATGACAACGTTGCGAATTACGCAATATTGCGCGACTCGTTGCACGCCAAGTGTTGCAAGTCGCACGAAGAGCGCGCTCCGACGTGAACTCTATCGCCGAATAAGAGACTCGCGAGATAAAGAAGAGAATGAGATAAAGTGTTAACGAGCCGCGGGCGTGTGCAAAATCGCATAATTGAGGGCGGCGAATGCTTGAGCCGCACGCGTCAATTAAAACTTGGATAGCACGTAGGTCCTCGCGCAAGTTATAATTAATTCGAGACGCTCCCGTCAAAAACACACGCACGACAAAGGAGAGAGGGAGATAGAGAGTTGGAGATGAATATATAGATAAACAGAAAGAAAAAGAGAGAGAGCCAAACTATTTGTTACTTTTTCCGTTATCGCGAAATATCGTGAAACGTGTCTCATTGAAAAACTCCAAAAAGTTCCATATTACTCAGTGTTTTTCTTTCGTTTTCTAGGAAAACTATTCTTCAAAAATAAAAAAAACTATCAAAATAAAGGAAACAGGGATGACGGTGTTAGTTGATCGATTTTTAATTTCTCAATAAATTCGTAATCTCTGCGGAAGATGGAATGTCTCGGCGGAAAAAGAAATTTAGATTTCTTTTTATTGCTTATTGTAAGGCACTCTCTCGCCACTAATCCCGCGATGTCTCTTCTGTGGGATGTAAAGTTTCGCGAAGAGTCAGGATACGTGTGGAGCCACCGGTCTCTCAGCCGTCGCGCGTTGTCACAGTACGAATTCCTCAATCACGTCGTAATACGTACACGATCGCTGCAATTGATTGCGTTCTACGCGTGCAACGCGCGATCGATAAGATGGCGATCGATAAGAGCTCGTGGCCGCGGCTTATCGGGCAATGTGCACGCGATAAGATCTCGCTGCCTTGTCTACCTCTGCGAGCGGATAATCCGCATGTCGCTCGCTGACTCGCTCGCGATATTCAGAAGCGCATTTTCCTCGTATTAGCGAGAAAGAAAAGGAGAGAGAGAAGAGAGACAGAGAGAGCAGAAAGAAAAAAGACGTAGGAGGGGCAGGAGAACTAGAAGAGCGGAGGAATCCCCGAAAGTCGGCCAAGACGATTTCCCGTCGTTCGAACTGATTGTTCACGTCGCGATTAAGCGCTCGCCGTTCGCGTTCGCGCGATATCGGCGCCGAGAAATTCGTGACGAGCGTGCCCCGACAACAAACACGGCGGCTCGCTAATTGGCGATTGGCGAAAATATCAGTTTCGCGGCGAGCCGGTTGCACGCGCGATGCCGATACCGGTCGCGGATTTAGATTGCCGGCGCGAATCCGCGATCCGACGGCTCCACGTCATTCATTTCGCTCGACTGCACAGCGCGACACGTATGGCGATCGAGCCGCGCGATCGATTCCCGCCTGCGAATTATGCTGGCGACGGGATCGCAGAGTGGGATTATTATCCTCGGGCGCGACGCAAAAGTTCTCAGACCGTCCTCATTACGGGAATAAATTCGGCGATTCGCTCGGACGATCTCGCCCAGATCGCACATTCTGTCGTGGCTCTAATCCGCGTTTGGATTGTATCGACAGGCCGAATCACGCTGGAACGCGCCGATACGTTCGCGAAACTTATCATTATCGTAAGTAGTCGGGACATTCCGTTGCGTTAAAAAGACCTCGCGATTGTACGGTACGTTTCACATTCACGGGCTCTGCGTAAGCGATATATGCCCGAGTCGAAATTTTAGTCCTATCTTAAACCTTGAATTCTATAATGTAGTGGGAACTAAGTAAGTTTAATTCTGATGATAACAATTTACTCTTACTTTGACTCTGATGTCTGAAATTTTCTTTTTCACTTTTTTAGCGTCAAAATAAATGTTGAATGGAATAATAAGGCTGAAAGTAGGATCAAAATTTCGATTCGGATATGTTGAATAATATTATTATTGTTTTATGCAAGATTATCGCATCTTCTTTCGATGGGATGGTAATAATTTGTCGCACAAAATATTGTATACTACATATTTCATATTTTACGGGCTCTCTTTGCATAAGCGATGTATATTGAATAACTTTGTTATTGTTTTATACAACATCGTCACTAGTGAAATGATAGTGTTATATGAAATATTGTGATTCTTTTCTCGCAAGATACGATGCCGGCGTTATTGCATTAATGTCTTTCATTGTTAATGAAAGGAGAGTGAAAATTGCGACTCGTGGCGATCGTCGAGTCACGTGGGACTTGATGCGGCATGTTCTTCGTTAGAAAACCGCACGTGTCCGTTTGCTACTGATCGTGTCGTGATCTGAGCCGGCAGGAAACTCGTTAGGCGACTCGCGTCTTCGACGAAGAACAGTGATTCGGAGATCGTGGAATCATGTCGGGACATGCAACGAGTGCGCTCGGACTCGTGAGTGCGGAGATTGGTACTTTCTTTTGAGAATTTGTCCGCCCGATGTGCACCATGAGCATTCTGCTGTGGCGACAGCGCAGGGCGAGTCAGCTGCGAACCGAAAGCGCTCTCTCCTTGACGAGTAAGTACCTCGCTTCCACAATCCCTCGATTTACATCGGATAAAGATCGTAAGATCGTGAAATTACGTTCATATAATTGAGATGCTGTCAGAGAAATAATCAACATATACATATATTTACACGCACACACAGACACACATGTACAAACTCAAGGCTTTAATATCGCATTAATATGCAGCGAGTGAAAAAGGTAGTTGCGCGCGTCTCATTCTTCCTGGAATAAATTTTATAAATAGAAAGTAATTGATAAGAAAAAATAATTATTAACATGTAAGAATATATACACGGAAAGAATATCATAGTTCTTTTCTTTCTTTCGTATACGCTGAGGGAAAAATCTCTGAGAGACAAAAAATATTTATTCAGCGCGGATTATAATAACGTATATATATATTTACTTATGTTAATGTAAAATCTGGTTTTTATATTAATTTTTACATTAATGTAAAATCTGATTTTTTAAAACAGAAAATTTTCTCAAAACTTCAACGCTTCCACTGAAAGCAATTGTTTGTTTTATTTAAGTAAAAGAATTTAAATTTAACATAAATATATTTTATATATATGTATATATGTATGTGTGTGTCTGTGTGTAAGAGAGTTCGATTAATATAAAGAATAAGAGCGTATCTCAATACGCCTCTTTCTCGTTCGTGAGATTATTCCGCGGAAGCAGAGCGCGATTAACTTTTTTTTTGTTGCTCGCTGTAACTTCAGTATCTCGAAACAAGGACAATGTTGAAGATATCCCGACGTTACGAATCTCTAAAAATATCGGTTTCATCAAGCAAATGAAGGCATATATCACGTAACAGACGTGATAAGAAAGAAGAAACGCATTTCACTCATAAATCGTTCGTCATGTATGGTGGGTGGATATTACGTAAATACGTAATTATATAAAATGCTATGAAATATTTATATCATAGTTTCGCGGGCCGCGATTCCTTTCCGCCGACAGGAGCACGCGATTCTGCGCGAGGGATCGAACGCCGCTCTCCATCTCTCTCATTCTCTCTTCTTTTTCTCTCTCTCTCTCTCTCTCTCTCTCTCATGCGCGCGCTTCACGAGAGAAGCAGAAAAGAAAGGGTTTCGATGAGCGCGAGTCGCGGCCGGTCGCGGCCTCGCAGCGCTAATGGGAGGAGTTCATTAAGATCGCGCGATTAGAGCGCCTTATCGCGGCTAACCGAGGCTCGTTACTTTCGCGTGACGTCACTTCCTCTCACCCGTCCCCCCGACCGTTCCCCTGTCGCCTTCTCTTCGGCTTTTTGCCGGGCGCGCTTTGTTCTCCGAAATTCGCGCGTGTCCTTCCCCGCGATGAATCGGGCGAGCGCGGGGCGACGAGGGGATATCTTATAAACGCAGGATCAGGCGGAATTTTTACGAGCGGCACATTATCTCGCACAGGATGTCTCGTGGCCCAACGCGCGAAATTTTAATGACACCGACACTTCTCGACGAATCCGGCGATGATTTTTCCTCAACGCGAAAACCCCGCCAGTGAATCGCGGCGAAATGAAATCGCGCTTTGCATTAGAAGACGTTGTAATAATTCAAAATTGCATATTGCAATAACTCGTTACAAGCATTGCAATATTGCCTTATAGTATACTGTAGATTCAAATTTATCGATCTTTATTTATGAAAATTTCACAAACACAAAATCGACCTTTTGCTGCAAAAATTGACTATATCGCCAATTACGTAAATTTTTCTCTATCACCAGCAAAAAGGATTCACTATATTATAGTCACAATATTATCTATCTTTCTAATTAATAAATTCGGTAATTGTTCGATTGTATAGCCACATTGAGAGAAAAAATATCTAGGAAATAGTAAATATTTATTCGGTGAGTACACGCTATATATAATAACAAGTTTTTATACTTGTACTAATATAAAATATTTTTCAAATAAAAAATATATATTTTCTTAAGAACTTTAAGAGAAAATCTCAAAACTATGGTTTTTCATGAAAGCTATTGTTTATTCTGCTTAAGTAAACGAATTTAGATTTAAATATGTTGTTAGTACTCACTCGAGAAATATTTATTATTTCTTAGATATTTCGCAACAAGCATCGGCTGTGTATCTGAAATTTTTATCCTACTTTCGTCCTCAATATTCTATATTTAATACGCCGTATTATAATCTACTTTGATACACCGAAGTCTTATATCAATCCATATTGATTCAATTTAACCTATCAACTTTGTCTCTGTAGAACCTACAAATGGTATGATGCATTTTCTACCATTTAGAGGAGCTAAATAGGATTTGTTTCCATCTTATACGCATACACTGATTCTTCAGAATATACAGATGTCAGAGAGTTCAGGTCCAAAGTAAGGCTAAAATTTCGATTCGCGGATATATCGCGAAACGAGGAGATTGCTACGAGGAGATAACGCACTTACGTCACGCCTCGACGATGGCACATTGCTATTTTCGGCACTCCCGATACTTATTTCCGCTTGATACTCACTTCTCGACGGATGAGAGACGCGTAAAATGCGGAACGATGTCGATCGACTTGTCCACGGCGGTTGCTCGACGGCAAAGAGATCGAAAAATGGCTGCGCGACTGATGGAAACGCGTTCCCACTCTCTAAATTAACGAACAAATGCGGCCAAACGCCATTATTCCGATTTATGATATATTTCGAGAGTAAAGTCTTGGAAAATTCCAATACTCTAAGGTTCCAAAAAATCACAAGGTCCGAACTTGTTCGAACACGTCTTGTTGTGTCAGCAGTTAGGCCGGGACTTTAAATCAAACGCGCGGCTAGAAACGGATGTGATCGATAGTATCTAATAATTGTCGATCTATCGACCTATCGAGCAGTAAGGCATCCGCCATGCAGGTAGTGTCATTGTAGGAGAGCGCGTCACTGTTCACGTCGTGGCGGACATTTTCGGCGATTGATGCGCCGCCACCTTCGATCTCTTTGCCGTCGGGAAGCCACCATCAACGCATTGATCGAGATCGCTCCGCACTTTGCCTTCTGCTTGTCGAAAGTGAGTCTCGGACACGGAAATAAGTGTCGGGAGTGTCAGGAACAGCGACGTACGATCGACGGGACGTATTGTAAGTACATTATTAGTGGTCCCTTCGTTTCTTTCGGCACGTGCAGCCGGTGCTTGTCGCGACGTGTCGAGTCCGCGGCTCCCTATCTCTTGTGAATGTCTGTTCACTCGAGCAGCAATAGAATATTCTCGGATTCATTAACCGGGAATTAGAAATTCGCTGGCAATCTGAGAGAAAGAGAAAATGACGGCGCCAGGGATACTCGCGTCGTCGGGGCCCAACCTAGACATGTACACTCAGTCCTCTTTCCAACTATCCACCTATTCTTTCCCGCCTTACCATCGATAGATCGATCGTGTCTAGCTGTACGTTTCTCATGAATGTTGATTAATCCAGGAAGAGAAAACGTGTCCTCTGGATCAATTAACAGCCACGAGAGACACGCAGCTAGAAACAAATATATGGTTAATCGAAAATTTGTGATGTCTATCGATCTATCGAATGGCGAGAAACCCACACGGAACTGAGTGTACAGCATAAGTTTCGGCTTAACTGCCGTGGCGTAACGACGAGTTCGAATTTGTTCGGACGTGATCTGTGATTTTTTAGAAAATACTTTGGAATTATTTCCATATCAAGCATCGTCTATTAATCGGATAATGCCACGTTATCAAGTTAAGATAATTTATACATCTTTTAACGTTGAGTGGCGTTGGAGCAGAGGCTTTGTTAAACGTCTGTAACTATATATTGAAACAGAGAGAGAGAGAGAGAGAGAGAGAGAGAGAGAGAGA